TGAGAAACGTAAACCTCCGTTGAAAATCTGTATGGTTGGGTGACTAAAAAAACTCAAGAAATGTCTCTGCAAGAGACATGGATTCAGTTTATAAAGCTGTCCGAGGCTCTCTTGAGAAGAACTGTGGAGCTTTCTGAATTGTGACCCACAGCAGGAAGTTACTGGGCATGTGCAAATCCTGAAAAGGTAGTGAGCAGTTGGAGACGGGTGCCCCATAGTCCCCCAAAAGAAGACAAAATAAGCTTTATATTACCAAGCAGTGATGCAGAAGGAAATGTATTCCTTTGTATTAGCACAGATGGAAGTTTAGGATGAGATGGTGCAAAATGGCCCAGTGTGTGATGACTAGACACAGTAAAAGTTGTTAGGGTAAAGCTAGTTTTAATAAAGAGGTTCTGAGACTAGTTTCTCTGCAAAACTAATCTAAGAACAGAAGGTCAACCCACAGGATGATGACCTCTAGGTAGATGAGAGTCAAGTTCTATGCAATTCACAGGGGCAGCATAGGTTTCACTGTGAAAAATATTCTGTCACTCTCAGGGCATTACATTGAGAAGAAAAGAGGAGCAGACAACTTTCATCCTGGCTATCTAGGAAAAACTCTTCCATGGTGGAGTATTGTTATTGATAACAACACTCTCAATGCTGCATGCATACCCAGGTAGAACCACTTGTCTTTCTGTCTTTCTTCAGGGAAGAGTTGATAAAGCCTTGTCATTCCTGATTGACATAAAATCTATTTGTTCAGGAATGCTTATTATCCATACAGTGAAGAAATTAGAATCAAGAGGACTATTAGATTCAGTTCAGCCTTTATCTCTTGCCACCTATTTTACTTTCATAATCATTGCAGTTGTTAGTTACACACTAGTATAACTACAGACAACATGTTACAGCTAGGGAGAGCTATTGGACCAGATCCTGGTTCCTAATGAGGCTGTTTTGTGCTGGTTCAGTGACACAAAGCTGTCTTAAAATTACCTTTACCAGGTACATACAGATTCAACTGCCAGTGGGAAATCTCCAGATGGCAGAAATTTGGTGTGGCTGGTTCTACACGTCTCAGCTGAGTTTAGGAGATTGCTGAGAATCGGGAGGTCTGCGTGGCTGGAGCATTGCTGTGGAATCCCTTGCTAGGGAACTGCATCATAAGGTTGCTGCAGCCAGGCATCATTTAATTCAGACTTGAGCTTCTTCCTGGGCCTGATCCAAAATCCATTGGAATAAGCTGAAATATGTCCTTTCACTTCAAAGGGCCTTGGATCAGATACTAACTTATGCTGGTAGCTGACCCAAGCCTGTCCACCCAGCTGACTGGGAGAGCTGGGGAGCTGACCTGTTATCTCTCACATAAGTCTCTTTATTACTCATTAAAGTAATATTATTGCTTTAAGCAATGCAGGGGCTGAAGATGGCTGAGGTGTAGTCTCAATGTACATTGTTCGCACCTTTGCAGGCTGACAACTGTATTCACAAAGGAGAACTATAAGGTTAATTCTGGAGTTAAGAATTAACTTCAAATAAGGGGAATCCTTATGTAATATACCCCTCCAGCTACTTAAATAACTCACCTCCAGAAAACTATAGGAATGTTGTTTCCAATACTCTTGCCACCTAAAAAGCCATCACTTGCAAAGAATTCAAACCAGAATACACTGAAATGTGGGAGATCTTTCTTTCATCTAGAAAGGGCTATTATACCAGAGTATTATATGATACTTCTGAAAATGAATTTATATATCCTATCTAGAGAGAGAGGGGGTACACATAGGAAGCCTTTATCATTCCTAGAATGCAATAAGTGAATGCACGTACATTCCCAGTGTATAGGAAAGAAGCAGTTCCATCCAGGCTATGCTAGACTCTCTCTCATTAAGGAAGGAGTATAAGCTGCAACTTTGTAAGAGCTCAAAGAATATGGTGTTTACAGTGGGAGTCATTCCTCAGAAAAGATATCAGGGAGGTGAAATAGAAAGTTATGAGGCTGAAGTTGATTGCCTCAGAAACAATACTGCACTTCTGCCACCACCTTAGAGAAAAAGGTTTGTAGACACCATCTTCAGTCAAAAATTATCCAGCTGGAGGGAAATGTACAATCCAATCCCTTAGTGTCAATTAGCATGAGGGACCCTAAGAGCAAGGCAAGCCTTAAGTCTTTGTAGTAAGAAAAATGCAGAAACTGGATTGTCAGTTACCTATCCAGGTAATAGGAATATAAACTTACACATTTTATTTGAGAGTATGTGCGAGAAACTGTGGAACAAGCATACCAAGTTCACTGAAACTATAATGGTTCTAGTAGCCTTGTATATAGAAGCAGGGCAGGAGTTCACCCACTACAGCAGGAATAGCCTGGACCTAGCGCCTTGCTTGATGTTACCAGAGTGAGCTGAATTGTTGTAAAGTGCAACAATTCAATTTGTATGGGAGATGAGGTTTCCCTGCCTCTCTTTTTCTCACAGGCTGCAGCCTACTGGGAACTTCTGAAAGAAGAATCATGTATTGTTGCACTTGTACAGTGTTGTCTTGTGTTGATAAAGGGTAATCTCAGGCCTAGCAAGGGATGAGATGCTAATGAAAATCGGGCTTGCTGTTGTAACAGTAAAAGTTGGTTTTAGGTTTACTGCCAAGTTTTTGCTAGCTTCTTTCCATTGTAACCACCACCATTCAATTTTTCTAAACCCTTTATGAATGACAGAGAAAAAGGAAAATCATTTAAAGCATGTGAAATATTATATTGTTTATGTAGATTGTATTGTTTGGCTTTCATTTCAACAATATCTTTTCCCCCTTTCCCTCTGACAGGCTTTCAGTGTTAGATGGGGGATAAGCTGTCCTTCTGAGGGGAAAGAGAAAAAGTTAGTGGGCTAAGGTCGGTGTGACTGGAAACCCAATCCTGTTTTCTTTAAGACCAAACAAAGTATCCTACATGCAAAAGGAAAGGGAGAAGAGCAGATGGGATAAAAAAAGGCGGGCTCTGCCTCTGGTGCTGGGTTACTTGCAACCTTGCTGCTGAAGAAACCCTGGCCCCAGCCATGTCTTATCAGTCATTCCCAAACTTGGCAATCTTGTGCTTGTGTTGGGGCTGTGTAAGGTGCTGCTTTCAGCTTGCTTTTCTGAACACAGGCTTGCAGTGGTATTGCAAATGTATAGCTGTCTTGGCAGCTAAGCCAGACTCCTATTAGGCAGAAGTAAAAGGAGAAAGGAAAGAGGAGAAATGTGACAGGAAAGGCAAAAAGAAAGGAAGCTACAACAGGAACCAAGCTTCACATGTCAGGTGGCGATTAGGATTTAGCAGAAGGCAGAGGGGGTGATGCCATATATTTCCCGATCTCTAGCTTCGCCTGTGGAGACAAGATGTCTTTCAGGATCGGGATGGTTAAGACCCAAGCCTGTTATGGTGGATTTCAAGGTCCCAGGAAATGATCTAGGAGGCTGCCATGGTGGTAAAACTTGCACGTCCTGTCTACTTGCTCTGTTGTTTCCATCTAAGGATCCCAGATAGTGTCCAAGAAGGGGTAATACCTTATGTCAATGAAATTAAACAAGCCCTACATCTTTCAGCAATTTCAAATGTAAAAGTCTCCTCCTAGTTCTAGACTCTCTCAGCTCATTCTCACGCCAATCCTTACTTTTACCTCAAAGTCCCCATAGCCCCCAAACCATCCAGATTATGCCAGTTTGTTTCCCACTTTCACTGATCTTGGTCAACACTTCTATGGAACTGGCTGAACAGGATTGCAGTTGCCTTGGACAAGGAACAAATTACAGTTCACGGCATAACAGCTGCCACTCCAATTAATGGAGATGGACAGCTGGCATTTTTACCTCTGGATCATCTAACCAAAGCTGAAGAGGCAAAATTGCCGGTGTCTGGTTTGCACCAGGATGCCCTTTGGAGCTGCTGCTAGTGAAGCAGTGAGGGAGCTCTCGCAGAGCCTGGGGTCACCTCAGGCCACACGCAACCTCCTCTCGCTTCTTCCCATACGATATGACAAACTCGACCCAGGTGAAAAGGGAGCGCGAGAGCGATGTAGCTGGGATGCCTTGTTGAGGCAAGGATGTCTTCGGGTGGTCTCTCCCATCAGACTGACTACGCGGTTGGGAGAAAAGTCGGACACACGAGATGCTCTTCCTCGGGTCTCTGAACACGGGGAGGCGAGCACGAGAACTGAAGCGCGGCGGAGGGGAGAGGCCGAGACGGTCTCGGGGGCAGCAGGCGGCTGGCTGAGAGATCCTGCCACAAGAGGGGCTGCGGGAAACCTCAGGCAGCTGCCAAGAGAAAGGAGAAGGGGGCTTGAACACCATGCACATATTTCTCCTCGGCCAGCAGTGACAGGTGCCTTGAATCCCGCCAGGCTCTCGCTGCCATCTTCCCCCTGGCTCCCGCGTCCCCTCCCCCCCGCCCCC